TGTCGGACCTGCTTCGGATAGGTTTCGAGCAGTCTCTGTCTGATCCCTGTGTCCTGCGTTTCATGATGGGAGACGAGGTGATGGGTATAATCGCGATTCATGTGGATGACATTTTGTATGCAGGAACGAAGAGGCTTGCCGAGGTGATTGTAGAGGCACTAGGTGACTCTCTACCTACGAAGATTTTGGGAAAAGTCAGATTCTTTCTTGGTTGCGCATTTAGTCGCGACCGCGAGGCTGGCACGATTGAGATTTCTCAAGAGAGTTACATCAGGAGTGTTCTAGAGAGATTCAATATTTGTCGCACCAGCTCGATCCCCGCTTCCCCTGCCAACGATAGCAGGTCCGTGATGGAGGATGAGGAGGCAGGAGATGTGCCGTTCAGGGAAGTGGTGGGATGCCTGATGTGGATCGCCAACAATACGAGGCCAGAAACTTCGAACGCTGTGCGGACGGTGGCGAGACACTCTCACGAGCCCAAGAAGAGTGACTGGAAGGCAGCCCAGAAGATTTTGAGTTGTCTTAAGGAAACGGCACATCTAACTCTGAAGTACAAGCAGGACACTACGGTAGACGTAGGCACGTTAGTGTACGTAGACGCTGACTTTACCAGCAAGGCCACTGACCGTAGATCAGTTTCTGAAGCATTAGTTCTTGTAGCTGGCTGTCTTGTGTATTGGTTTTCTTGGGNCTAACTCTGAAGTACAAGCAGGACACTACGGTAGACGTAGGCACGTTAGTGTACGTAGACGCTGACTTTGCCAGCAAGGCCACTGACCGTAGATCAGTTTCTGGAGCATTAGTTCTTGTAGCTGGCTGTCTTGTGTCTTGGTTTTCTTGGACGCAGAAATGTGTCTCACTGTCAACTTCTGAAGCAGAGTATATTGCGATGGGTGACGGTGTTAAGGAGGCTCTCTTTGTGAACGGGATGCTTCAGTTCTTGAGACCTAGTGCGAAGCCTCGGAAAGTTGACGTATTTGAGGACAACGAAGGAGCGATTGCGCTTGCAGAGAATCCGCTTAGCTAGAGTAGGAGTAAGCACATTGACGTGAGGCACCACTTCCTTAGGAATTTGACGGAGGAGGGCGTGATCGAGTTCACCCATGTCCCAAGCAAGGAGCAGCATGCTGACATCCTCACAAAGGCTCTACCGAGAAACCTTTTTGAAGTTCACCGTGGCTTTGTCCTTGGCTCAGTAGCTGAGAAGTAGAGATCTGAGTTAGTATCTGATTTTGTATTATTAGGTCTGGTCGAGACGACAGCCCCAAGGGAGGGTGTTCGTTAATTGTGGCTGTAGTTTCGAATGTATGACGTGTATTGCGGTGTAGTAGGTGATACTTGGTATTGTAACGAAACGTAACACAAAGGTCAGTAGATTGCAGCGAGTAGATTGCAGCGAATAGATTGCAGCGAATAGATTTATTGCTGAGGAAAAGCTGTAGCCAGAAGCCATGGGGAGCGCAGCCCACCGTGCTCACTCCACCTTGCCGACCTGTCTCTCCGGGCAAGTTCTCATTAATACACCACATATTTCTCCAGAAGTCACGAGTTTCCAACACAGCCCGGCCGCACCCGGAAGCAGACCCGGGAGTTGCGGAGCTCTGAAGAAGAGCCGAGCGAGGCGCCAGCCCCCGAGGAGGCGCTGCTATCAACCGTCCTGGAGACCGAGAACGGTCCGGAGATCGTTGCGGAAAATATCCGCGAATCGCTGTTGGAGGAGCGCATGCAAGACGAGCAAGCGCACCGTGAGGAGCTGAAGAAGTAGTTACATTACGATCTAGTGAAGGCGCTCCATCCTGATGCAGGGGAGCTGGAGCTGGTATTCAGTGCAAACGAAAAGGACGATGGGTCTCCGCAACCACTCCTTGACCCAGAGCTAAGTATTCCCTCGCAGATCGGGCAGAAGCCTAACGGTGTAGAGGGTGTCCCGCTCACATACAAAGGTGCGATGGATTCCAAGTACAAGGTGTTGTGGGAAGCGGCGATGATGAAAGAGAATGGTGGTCTAGGCAAGGCGGGGACTTTCACGAAAATTGGAAAACTTCCCGAGGGGCGGAAGGCAGTGACTTCGAAGTGGGTGTTTTCGTACGAGACGAACGAGAAGGGCATGATCACCGCCTTCAAAGCCCGTATGGTTGCGCGCGGTTTCTCACAGATTCCGGGGGTAGATTTCCACCACTCAGCTTCTGCATGCCCGTCTACGACGTCCATCAAAACCGTGGTTGTCGTCGCCACCGAGAAGAATATGAAGATGTTCCACTGGGACATGAAACAAACGTACATTCACGCTACTAAGCTCAAAGAAGAGATTTTTATCAGGCTTCCCCAGGGTTGTGGTGACATGTCTGGCAAGGTGGACAACAAGGTTGAGCGTGCGCTGTGTGGCCTGAAACAAAGCGGTCGCGAGTGGGGGCNTCAGCTTCTGCATGCCCGTCTACGACGTCCATCAAAACCGTGGTTGTCGTCGCCACCGAGAAGAATATGAAGATGTTCCACTGGGACATGAAACAAACGTACATTCACGCTACTAAGCTCAAAGAAGAGATTTTTATCAGGCTTCCCCAGGGTTGTGGTGACATGTCTGGCAAGGTGGACAACAAGGTTGAGCGTGCGCTGTGTGGCCTGAAACAAAGCGGTCGCGAGTGGGGGCTTGAAGCTGCTGATGCCCTCATCGCGAATGGGTACGAGCAGTGCAGGGCTGACCCATGTGTTTTCCGTAGGATGGTTGACGGAGAGGTCGTAGTTCTGATCGTGATATACGTAGATGACATATTGTTCGTGGCGTCCGAGCAAGAGCGTCAAGAGTTGCTTGCTTCCCTCCAGAAGAAGTTTCCGGTGAAGGATTTGGGAGAATGCACGCGGTATGATGGGATTGGCATTGAGATGGACCTAGAGAACGGCATCACCAAGCAAGTTGTCCCAGACGGCATACATTGAGACCATCATCAAGCGGTTCAACGTGACTACTACCGCCCTCACGCCTGCTGTACCCGGCGCTGACCTAGGGCCAAAACGAGATGACGAGCCCACGGTGGACAAGCCAGTGAGTGAGGCACTCGGGTGCCCGATGTGGGTGGTGCATACGAGGCCGGACATCGCTCTGCCGTTGAACAAGATCCAGAAGGTGGCTCACTCTCCCACCGACAGGATATGGCGGGCGCTTCTGAGGGTCATGTCTTACCTCAACGCCACGAAGACCTGAGCTCCACCTTTGTGCGGGGGTCAGGGCTAGATCTAGGAGTGTGGGTCGATGCCAGCTACGCCGACGACGTTGTTGACAGGCATTCGACGACGGGACTAGCCGTAACCGTAGGTGGTAACACGGTGAACGGAACCACAAAGACGAAGCGTGTGCCGGCGCAGTCATCCTCGGAGGCAGAGTATCTAGCAGCCGGGGAGGGAGTGAAGGAGGCGTTGCATGTGCGTGCGGTTCTGTCTTTCGTAGCGCCTGAGACGAGTGGGGAGAAGATCAAGGTCCTTGAAGACAACAAGGGAGCTCTTGCCCTGGTGCAGAACCCCTTCAGCTCGGCGAGGAGCAAGCACATCGACGTGCGGTACCACTTTATCCCCGAGCTCTTCAAGTCGGGGAAGATCACCGCAGAGTATGTCCCGACGGAAGAGCAGCACGCCGACATGCTGATCAAGGTCCTTGGTAGGACCAAACTGGAGTAGTACCACCGGAAGGCCCTGATGAACCTCCCGGAGTAGTCCTGGCTTCTGTGTTACTGTGTTTTAGCACTGAGCATCTCGAATGTTCTGATTTCTGTGTTGCATTTAGCACTGGGCATCTATGGCCATGGTTTCTCATGCAGGAAGCATTGGTCGGCGCGTCACATGACCGGTCCAATTTGTCCTGCCATTTGGTCTACTTTGTCTTGGAAGTGCGGCCGTTGGAATCCCCATTTATTTCTCCTTAATCCTCCGTGATAGCAACGGTTTCTATATTTGGGTACGCGAGGGTTTTCGATCCGGATGGCCGGATTTTCGCCCGCACCGTTGTTGATTTGAGTCTTTCAGGTAGATCTGGGGTATCCATGCCCCACTGATGATTCGCCATTTGCGTGACGAACCAGGGAGGGTGTTCGTGTTTTTGGATNATTGGTCGGCGCGTCACATGACCGGTCCAATTTGTCCTGCCATTTGGTCTACTTTGTCTTGGAAGTGCGGCCGTTGGAATCCCCATTTATTTCTCCTTAATCCTCCGTGATAGCAACGGTTTCTATATTTGGGTACGCGAGGGTTTTCGATCCGGATGGCCGGATTTTCGCCCGCACCGTTGTTGATTTGAGTCTTTCAGGTAGATCTGGGGTATCCATGCCCCACTGATGATTCGCCATTTGCGTGACGAACCAGGGAGGGTGTTCGTGTTTTTGGATACGGACTGATAGATCTGCCGACAACAACGGGAACACGCAGATAGGAGCATAGGTTTACCATGACGGTTACGATGCGGTGGAACCTATTATGCGGTGGAACCTCTCGAGCTCTCTCAAGCTTATCGGGACCTCACTCTTCCTCCGCTCCCCTTTCGCGTGCTTAATACAAAAGATACAACAAACCTTCCCCTTCCAAGTGAAACCTTCCAAGTGAAGGACAACATACAAACCTACGAATAAGGTCATGCTGTCGCAATGTGGCTCGAAAAGAAAAGAAACGGCCAATTTGCGTGCGCACACTGTTGTATATGTACAGTAAAGAAGTGAAGTCTAGACTACTGCTGTCACATGACCACGACATCCTATCTATCTGTGAATAGTTATGCCCCCGTCCCCACGTCTTTCTCGCGCCTCTCAACCTACACGGGGCTTGGAGCTCTCTTTTGCACCCCCAGGGGCGACCCGCCTGATGTGGCAGATATGTTTCGCCGATACCGCTGGTGGTATGGGTATGTATACGGTATATATACCAGGGTATAACCTGGTGTCGGGTCATTGGGTCATCCTCCTGGATGGATCTATCCTGACCGTCCTGCGTTGGTTCCACCGCTTCACGGGGCGCTTTCGCGCTTTCGCGCCTTTTGGCTTCAAACTATCGCCGTCCCCACCACGTCAGCTTGGAGAAAGGTTCTAACCTGTGTAATAATCTTAGTCTATATTCCTGGTCTCTCTGAAGTTTTACATATTATTATTATCGTATCGCCACTATCTCGCCAGTATGCACCAAACAGACCCATGCATGTATGTATGTGGACGTTGTCATTAAAGAGCGACACTCAATCAAACACTGACCAACCGCGAACAGATCATGTCCAGGTTCACACATGTCCACCCCATCATCACCCACTCCGTATTATGTTTGTCCGTGTCTCATCGCATACACCTACCTGTTGTTCTCTGAGGACGCCCTGATGGTGCACCGAGGAGTAATTCAGGTATTTATTATGCATGGTATCATGGTATCATCATCCCCCGGAAGTTCAAAAGCAACAGCGAGTAGAAATACACAGCATATTACCAGGCAGCAGAAGAACCAAACTTTAACTTTTGTACCATATCAACTGCTGGTAATGCCGTGTATGAACATGATTAGAGCTTCGTGCACAACGACGCACGGATGGGAAGGGGCAAGGTTGTTACTTAGCCCCCCCGGTATGTGCCCGTGTGGGCTGTTTCATGAAGAAAAAAAACAGTACTGCTAATGTAAGCAACCCCTGGGCTGAACTACACGAAGTTCCTCGCAAATTCTACGATGACCGCGTCCTCTCTCTCTCTCACACTCTCTCGGGCCAATGCACATCGTGACCGTTGGGCCCGGAAGATAAGCTGAAACGACTGACTGTACTTTTGACTCTGTCTTCACAACAAGATGAATATTTAAACTGTGTGCGGGTGAGCGCCAAGGATCCAATACGTGGTACGTATGCTTGTTGATTACGAAGAAATCGAGCTTCCACCGGGTGCTTGAGTAGTTAGTACACTGCTGGACGAGCTTGTCGAACCCCAACTCATTATGATTCCCAACGGGCAATGAAATGATCTCTCCGTCGTCGGGTTCCAGAGTCACTCTGCTCGAACCCTCAAAAGTAGGAACAAACAGCTGCTGCTGTGTTGCGAGGCAGCAGTCCGTACATGCATCGCATGTTCTTTTTTTACCTTCATCGGGATTGGATGCAAGACTAAACACATCCCGACACATGCACCCACCCGCCATCGGCAGCATCCATCTCATCACTCGATAGACGTTGAGGGGGTATGTTGTGTGTGGAGAGATGTGTGTTCTCTACGATGTATGCAAGGTGTCGTGCAAAGAACCAAAGTTGAAACATACACCGTATACTATAGATAGACCTAAATGTAGCTCGCCGGACTTCATTGCGTTTCTATTGAGAGTCAGCGCTAGGCCAGGAAGGCTAATTTGTACCAGGCAAAAGGTCTCCGAGATGAACTACGCGGGCGACAACCCCGCTAATAACATGTGTGAACCCATCTCTACGGATCGCACGCTTTTTAGAAGGTGTTGCACCTCTCTGAATCAACGAAGGAGACACCAGAGCAGAGGTGTCGTCACCGAGGCAGCAAAGCAATGACCATGCAGAGATGCTGTGAAAAGTAAACTACGCGGGGTGCATCAAGCCCGTCCTGGGCGTTACTTGGGACACTGGGTAGTCGGCCGTGTTAGGCCGAGAAAGAGAGGTTGAGAGAGGTGGAGAGAGAGTGGGAGAAGGAAACTTGATTGGAGAGAGACGGCGGTGGCGATGGAGAGAGAGAAGGAAGAAGTGCGCAGTACGCACGCAAGTCTCATCGTTCCAACCGCGCCGCGCCAAAAGGGTCCCCGTAGCTGCACCGGTGGTACCCTACAACTCACGAAATTCCCAACACGTATCCCCTTGGGATCCTCACGGCCAGATACTGCTGCGAGTATATCTAACATCCCCCCTGCTCGCAACAATTTCTCACTGAAAACTTCGCTTACGTCCGATATCTCAACCAAAACACTTCTTTCCCAGAACATGAGTCATCAAGATTACTTCCAAATATAAGAAAATGAAAAGAATACCAAGAAACTTGAATGCTGCATCGCGCACAGTTTATGCCTCATGCGCGGGAAACAAAACAACAACAAAACACAACCCATCAGAAAAACAAAAAATGTTCATGCCAAATTCATCACAACACCACCACGGTGAGACTCGAAAGTGTCCTTCGGGGAAGCTCTTCGTAAGAAAATCTGCACGCTGGTATGGCGACGGCACGTGGATCACCGAAATTTCCTTCCTCTACCAGTTCCCTGAGAAAATGGTGCCTTACATCTATGTGCTTCGAGTTCGAGTTTGAGATGGGGTTCTGCGCTAGTTGAATCGCCCCCTGGTTGTCCTCGAACTGGGATGCACAGCATACCGACCTGCGGCAACATGAAACGCCAAATCTGCCTCAAAAACAAGACCTCCTTCACCACGTCACCAAGCGCGACGTACTCTGCTTCAGTCGTCGAAAGCGTAACACACTTCTGCGTTCTGGAAAGCCAAGACACGGCGCCTCCTCCACACGTGACGATCCCCCCTGATACCGACCTACGGTCTGCTGACTTGCTTGCAAAGTCTGCATCAGCGTACCCCTGCAAACTGAAACCCTCTACCGTAGTACCTCTCTGAAACGAAATACCAAGTGACTCGTCCTCCTCGCATAGCATAAAATATCCATCGCTGCATTCCAGTGACCAGCTTCGGAGATGCGAAATACCTAGCTACTGCCCTTACCTAGTCTGAGTCGCCAACCACATCAAAGATCCTACCAGCTCACGAAACGGATAGTCTGTCTCTATCTCATCCGCATCAACATCAGAAAGCTTCACCCCCGAAGAAATCGGAACTCTCTTACCTCCCGCTACTCCATACTCTGTTGCTAGCTCATTCGTGAAAGTCTGCTGAGAAATCGTCAACCTACCCTTGTTCCTCTCGTGAAAGCACCCAGAATACCATCTCAACTCTCCCAGGTTCTTCACTGGCACGGACTTGTTAAGGTCGGCACCAAACTTGTCACATCTCTCCCTCTCTCTCTCCCACAGCAAAAATGTCATCTACATGTACTACCAACCTCAAAACAACACATACATACATCCTCAATCAAACGAAACACACAAGCATCGGCCATGCACTGCTCAAAACCTTACGCCAGCTCTTCAGCATTGCATGCCACTGCCTAGATGCCTGTCTCAAGCCATACAGACTCTTGCCTTTTGTTGNCACGGACTTGTTAAGGTCGGCACCAAACTTGTCACATCTCTCCCTCTCTCTCTCCCACAGCAAAAATGTCATCTACATGTACTACCAACCTCAAAACAACACATACATACATCCTCAATCAAACGAAACACACAAGCATCGGCCATGCACTGCTCAAAACCTTACGCCAGCTCTTCAGCATTGCATGCCACTGCCTAGATGCCTGTCTCAAGCCATACAGACTCTTGCCTTTTGTTGTACAATCATTCCAGATAGAGCTCCACATCCCTGCGGCAAACGCATGTACACGTCTTCCTGCAACTCCGAACGCACAAAAGCTTGCTCAATATCGAAATGACACAAGTCGAGGTTCAACTCGCACGCCAAAGCAGCCAACATCCTAACACACGATACAGAAACGGTAGGCGCGTACAACTGTTCAAAGTCAATGTATTATGGATATTATGTAATACCCAGGCACAGCAAGCAGTGGTGTAGAGGCTGTGTCGTCGACGTTAGTCGAGGTGATGACACGTGCGAGAGGGTAGCCTGGAAGACGAGAGTCCTTCCACGTAGTGAAGAAGATGTTGAGATATTGGAACACTGGCGCTTAGGTGGCCAACACAATCCGAAAGGATCACACGAGAGAGTGAGCTACTCGGCTACCAAGCACCACGCAGAGAATCCTGCGAGGGTAATTCTTCCGCATACACATATTTAGTCTATACCAGCACGGCTATTTGGGACAACGTTGTCCCAAATTTTTATTTGGGACAACACGTCTAACTCGGCGTAGAAAGCTCGGATCGACCTCAAACCAAGTTTGTTGTAATCCTACTGGACACAGCTTTCACGGAATGTACTTTGAGTCCACAACGGAGTCGGGGCCGAGGAATGTACTTTGAGTCCACAACGGAGCCGGGGCCGAGGAGATAGAGCCTAAAAAAGGGGCTCCTTGTTATGGAGGAAAACGGCCCCGGCTCCGTTGTGGACTCAAAGTACATTCCTCGGCCCCGACTCCGTTGTGGACTCAAAGTACATTCCGTGAAAGCTGTGTCCAGTAGGATTACAACAAACTTGGAGCCGGGGCCGAGGAGATAGAGCCTAAAAAAGGGGCTCCGTGGCTTCGGTAAATCCACGTTTTCTTCCATAACAAGGAGCCCCTTTTTTAGGTTNATCCGGAAGGATCACACGAGAGAGTGAGCTACTCGGCTACCAAGCACCACGCAGAGAATCCTGCGAGAGTTATTCCTCCGCATACACATACGTATACGTTACATTCGAACCGACATTCGAACAGACACAAATGAGATCTACGATATACAAGAGCAGTGCTACAGAACATTGACTCATGCTGGCTGTGTGCTAACATTTCCATAACACTCCCCTTCAATGAAAGTTGCTCTGAATTGTACCAAACTACAGTGATGAAAATCAAATCAAGCAAGTACTCGTTTTCTGCGCAACGTAACTCATTCGTTTCATGCGGTTCAAACACTACCGTACCAAGTGACATTTCATGTTTGGCGCGTGCTACAACACATTTATGCGCTTGCAAAAAGTACCTGCTATTGTTTCTTGCATAAACCAAAGCACCATAATTTTCAATCCTACATGGCTCGTTCAACCAGTGATGGTGCGAGGCCGAATGTTGACTACTGAAAGACTACGCTGATTCACACAAACAGAACAGATGCAAAAATACTTCGTAACAAACACACAAACAATAACACGATTACTTGAACTTGTTGCTGATGAAGTCGCTGACGTTGAAACTGCTGATGATGTCCAGCAGGTGTTTGAGCCGATGCTTGTTAAGATGCTTTGTCCCGATGTCGGCAGGGTTGCTGTCCGTCGGGATGTAATGGATCGATATCCGTCCTTCCGATACTAGCTCTCGGATGTAAAAGAAGCGAAGTGCGATATGTTTTGTCCTCGAGCTGAAGGAGGAGCGGTTTCCAAGCGCGTGCAGCGTCGCCGTGTTGTCGCAGTACAGCGGCACTTGCGCAAACTCCTTCCCGAACCCTAGCTCAGTTAGTATGTTAGAACAGAACACTGCTTCCTTCATGGCTAGTGCCGATGCAATCAGCTCTGCCTCCATGGTAGACATGGCAGTTGGACCTTGTATCCCCGACTTAAAACTCACCGATGCATTTCCTAGCATCAACTAGCAAGAGGTGGACTTTCCGTTGTCTGGATTGTTTGCCCAGTTGGAGTCCGAAAAGGTCGCAAGCTTGAAGCCCCCACTCTTGTATGTGATTCTAACACCTCCATCCTTGTCCTTGACCTCGAAGCCAGGTGGCTGTTCGACGAACACGTTCTCGAGGATGTCAGCGTAGAGGAAGGCTGTGGACACGTCCATTTGATCCAACTCCAGGTTGAACTGCACGGCTATGCACGCTAACATCCGAATGCTCTGTAACCTGCACACCGGAGCGTAGGTGCCGCCGCAGTCCAGTCCAGGTACTTGGTTCCAGCCTTGCGCNAGTCCCCGTCGCAACGCCTTTGAGGACATGCTGGCCCGCGGCGACGATCGTGTGTGGGACCCGAAGGTGTTCGACGTCGCGCATGTGAGCCCGCAATCCTGGTGTGCACGGGACAAGCTTGAACACCCATTTGGACTTTATCCGCTTCCTCCCTGGGGGAACTGCCGTGCGCGGGACAAGCTTGTAAACTTGACGTTCCTTGAGACTCGCAATCTCGCGCTCTGCAGCTGCGTTCCACTGTTTTCCGTCCGGCATGGCCCTTGCCTGTTCAATCGTTCGTGGAACATCCGGTTGGGATGGCCCCATAGCGTACGCGTATTCCGTGAAACCAAAGGAGCCGTCCCTGTGAGCGACGTCAGGGAACTCCCCTTTCGCGGTAAATGCGTAGGAGATACGACGGAGTTCGCGGATGGGTCTTTGCGTTGGGTATGCGCGAACTCGACCTGGTGACAGCAGGTGCCGACGTGGACCCTCGTCCACCACGAGAACCACTTCCACTTGTCGAGCCGCGACCTCCACTCGGCGTGATGCCTCCCCGCGCCGATCCTCCTCGCGAAGGTCCACCACGAGCACCTCGGCCACCACGAGACAACATTTCGACTCACCCGTACACGTCGCGTCTCAGAGTTGTAGATCCGATACGACTTGCTGTCCATGCTGTATCCGACAAGGCGTCCTTCCCAAGCACGGTGCTCCAGCTTCCTGGTGTGGGTTTCTTCGTGCACGAACGCCCTTGACCCTATCACCCGAAGGTGACCAAGGTAGGCATCCTTGCCGTAGAGCGCCTTGTACGGCGTCCCGTTTTGCAGGGCTGCATGAGGAACCCGGTTGCTCAGGTAGACTGCCGTCTGGATCAGCTCCCCCCAAAGGAAGTTCGGTAGAGTTGAGTCAGCGAGCAGACAGCGCACGACATTCAAAATCGTCCGACCCGCACGCTCGTTGGCTCCGATCTGCTGAGGGGTGTTCGGAGAGGCGAACTCCAGCTTGATGCCGATGTCTTGACAGTACTGACGGAATTCCGCACTCGTAAATTCTGTGCCCTGATCCCCACGGAGGCAATAAATGCGTTCTCCGGTAGGAACCACGGTCCCTTTATTGAACAACGCGAGGGAGTCTACAGAACAGGTCTTGTCCTTCATGAGAACTATCTCCGCCCACTTGGTCTGCTGGTCCACGAACTTGGTGGCGTACTTGAATCCGCCCAACGCCGTAGGTGTGAAGGGGCCAAGGGTGTCGACGGTCTGCATTGGGAAAACCACGTCCCCTGACTCCAACCTGGGGTTGTCCGGATGAAACAACGTCGCCACCCCTTTTAGCATCGCCAATGTCACGGAGAAGAGGTTGGTGCCCAGCCCTGAGACCAAGATGACGCGTAAGGAGACGTGCCGGTCGTTCCCATTGTCGTCCGTGACAGCCCCGAAGATAGTCCCCGTCGTTACGCCTTTGAGGACATGCTGGCCCGCGGCGACGATCGTGTGTGGGACCCGAAGGTGTTCGACGTCGCGCATGTGGGCCCGCAACCCTGGTGTAAGCCCAGGGTCGAGGTAGTTGTCTGTCGCTCCACTGTCCACAACCATCCGGATGGACGATCCGTCGGAGCGAAAAGGAGCAAGCGACAACTCTGCATGAGTCGCCATGAACGCACCGAAGAACCTTGAAGGCAGTCGGTAGTCCTGCGCCCTCGACGTTGATGAGGCAGATGCAGGTGCCGCTTGCGTGGCGGCAGACGCCGCCGGAGGTGGCTGGGAAGAGGCAGACGACGAGGTTGCCTCCGCCAAGGAAGTTCCGAGGGCGTTGAAGGAGAACCCGAACGAAGTCGGCTCTGACGGAGCCTGTTGCGCCACCGTCGGAGACGATTGCGCCAGCTGAGCACTCCCGATATTGGAGAGTTGCAGAAAGTTGGTATGGCCAACTGACTGCAGGAGCGCCAGGTTCGCCGCCAACCCTTCAAGCTCCTTTTGCTTGTTTTCCCGGATCTCCTTTTGCTTCTGGCACTCAGCATCGCTGTGTGTCTTGGTGTTGTGGTAGGAGCACCACTTTGGCTGTACACTCCCACCACTTCCTCGCTTGTTGGCTCCCTTCTTCTTGCTCTGCTTAGGACGGCTCTTTTGGACCTGTTGGGGACAATCGCGCTGAAAGTGTCCGTACGCCTTGCATCGGCGGCACTGGTCGGTGTCGGACGCGACCGCCATCGCAGCCCCCCGGCCTGAGACCACGGGGCCCGACGCGTTGCGCGAATGCTGATCCACGAAAAAGCAATTAGCCGTCGCCTGGAGACTGTCTACTGAAGTAAAATTATCGCGGTAGTGCATCTCCCTGATGAACTCGAACACCGGGGCCTTGGTCAGGCCTGAGAGCATGATGTCCAGGTAGACTAGGTCCGACACTTCCTCCCCCAGCACCTTAAGGCGAAGCTTGAGATCCCACCCCTTTGTGAAGAAGTCGATGGGATCGCCGCCCGCAAGGTGTCGCAGGTTGAACAGCTCGTTGTGACACGCACGCCGAGCTTCCTGGGTTTGAGCATCAAAACGCTCGTTGAGAGCTCTCCAGGCCGCCGTCCCATCCCCCATGTCACTATCCGCCGCCCCTTCGTGAGTGCGGACAGTGAGCTGCGCAGACTCGGAGGTCACGACGAAGAGGAGGGAGAACAGGCGACCGTTGGCCTTGTCCCACGCGGCCACATCCTCCGCGTTCGCCGCGGTCGCCGAAGGACGCGCATTCCCGTTGAGGACGGGGAGAAGTTCCGGCGCGTGGAGGATGATTGCGTGTCGAAGCTTGATCTTCCACTCGCGGAAACCCGAATGTCCCGCGCATTTCCCAATGGAGTCCAGCATGCGGTGGGGCCCGGAGCTCGATCATTCCGCCATTACTGAAACCAGGGTCACACGCCGAGCGTTATACGGTTTTCAGCACACGTAAGACGCCTCGCTCATAACCTAAATTATTATAAATATTATGTAAATACCCTGGCACAGTGGTGTAGAGGCTCTGTCGTCGACGTTAGGNTCCCACGCGGCCACATCCTCCGCGTTCGCCGCGGTCGCCGAAGGACGCGCATTCCCGTTGAGGACGGGGAGAAGTTCCGGCGCGTGGAGGATGATTGCGTGTCGAAGCTTGATCTTCCACTCGCGGAAACCCGAATGTCCCGCGCATTTCCCAATGGAGTCCAGCATGCGGTGGGGCCCGGAGCTCGATCATTCCGCCATTACTGAAACCAGGGTCACACGCCGAGCGTTATACGGTTTTCAGCACACGTAAGACGCCTCGCTCATAACCTAAATTATTATAAATATTATGTAAATACCCTGGCACAGTGGTGTAGAGGCTCTGTCGTCGACGTTAGGCGAGGTGATGACACGTGCGAGAGGGTAGCCTGGAAGACGAGAGTCCTTCCACGTAGTGAAGAAGATGTTGAAATATTGAAACACTGGCGCATAGGTGGCCAACACAATCCGGAAGGATCACACGAGAGAGTGAGCTACTCGGCTACCAAGCACCACGCAGAGAATCATGCGAGAGTAATTCCTCCGCATAAACATATTTATACGTTACATTCGAACCGACATTCGAACCGACACAAATGAGATCTACGATATACAAGAGCAGTGCTACTGAACATTGATTCATACTGGTTATGTGCTAACATTTCCATAACACAATGTACTCTCTCTGCATATCACCTCTCGCTACAAGTCTCGACCTAACTTTAGTGGGCCATCCAAACTCATCTGCCTTCCAATCGAATACCCACTTAGCGTTACTTGCGTTCTCCACTAATTGCTATTCGCCGGAGTAAAAGTCCCCGCTTCTAACAAGCCAAAAAACTTCCTTTGCATAGAGTCGCTCCACAGGTGCCGGTGCTCCGACGCCATGGCCTCTTTGTAGCTCTTTGAAACACGAAGGTCGCTGGCCTGGCAGTGCTGAAGGTCAGGGCGTTGCTCCGGCGGGCGCTGGTCTCGCAGCGTGGCGTCGATGTCTTCCCGGTTGGCGAGGAGCGTGGCAAATGCGAGTGGAAAGCCCGCTCCTCCAGCCCCCGGGTCCACCGCTGCGAGTGCTCCCGAGGGCTGGAGGAGCGGGCTTTCCACTCGCATTTGCCACGCT